ACTGGGAGGGACTGGGAGGCACTGGGAGGGACTGGGAGGGACTGGGAGGAACTGGGAGGGATGGAGAGGGAACTGGGAGGGACTGGGAGGCACGGAGCTGCAACTGGGAGGCACTGGGAGGGATGGACCTCCAACTGGGAGGCACTGGGAGGGATGGACCTCCAACTGGGAGGCACTGGGAGGGAGTGGGAAGGATGGAGCTGCAACTGAGAGGCACTGGGAAGGATGGAGCTTCAACTGGGAGGCACTGGGAGGGACTGGGAGGGATGGAGAGGCAACTGGGAGGCACTGGGAGGGATGGAGAAGCAACTGGGAGGGACTGGGAGGCACTGGGATGGGGATATGGCATTGGGAGGTCACACTGGGAGGGACTGGGAGGCACTGGGAGGGATGGAGCTTCAACTGGGAGGCACTGGGATGGACTGGGAGGGATGGAGAGGCAACTGGGAGGGACTGGGAGGCACGGAGCTGCAACTGGGAGGCACTGGGAGGGATGGACCTCCAACTGGGAGGCACTGGGATGGACTGGGAGGGATGGAGCTCCAACTGGGAGGCACTGGGAGTGGGAAATGGCAACTGGGAGGTGGTACTGGGATGGACTGGGAGGCACTGGGAGGGATGGAGCTGCAACTGGGAGGCACTGGGAGGGAGTGGGAAGGATGGAGCTTCAACTGGGATGGACTGGGATGAACTTGGAAGGGCGCAGCTCCAACTGGGAGGCACTGGGATGAACTGGGAAGGGTGCAGCTCCAACTGGGAGGCACCGGGATGAACTGGGATGCACTGGGATGAACTGGGAAGGGTGCAGCTCCAACTGGGACGAACTGGGATGAACTGGGGAGGGTGCATCTCCAACTGGGACGAACTGGGATGAACCGGGAAGGGTGAAGCTCCAACTGGAAGGCACTGGGATGAACTGGGATGAACTGGGAAGGGCACAGCTCCAACTGGGACAAACTGGGAAGGGTGCAGCTCCAACTGGGAGGCACTGGGATGAACTGGGATGAACTGTGAAGGGCGCAACTCCAACTGGGAGGCACTGGGATGAACTGGGAAGGGTGCATCTCCAACTGGGATGAACTGGGGAGGGTGCAGCTCCAACTGGGGGGCACTGGGAGACACTGGGATGAACTGGGAAGGGTGCATCTCCAACTGGGATGAACTGGGATGAACTGGGAAGGGTACATCTCCAACTGGAAGGCACCAGGATGAACTGGGATGGGGATGTGGCAACTGGGATGAACTGGGATGGGTGCATCTCCAACTGGGAGGCACTGGGATGAACTGGGATGCACTGGGATGAACTGGGAAGGGCGCAGCTCCAACTGGGACGAACTGGGATGAACTGGGAAGGGCGCAACTCCAACTGGGAGGGAGCTAGGGCAACTGGGACGAACTGGGACGAACTGGAGATACAACATCCCCATTACCCACCCAAATTCCACCCCACCCCTCAACCCACCACCCC